ACATATTACAATTACAAAGATGAGAAAGACACACTTAGGAATTATTGCAAAGCCACAATTGAATTAAGTCATTTCCTCATGGTCTGGTAAAGAGATGGCTGGAGTCCTCGGTTACACTCTGCGTCCTCAGTATTCTAGAGGACCTTAACCACAATAAAACACAGGATTTGCCCCAAATAGGTGTTTTACTTTATGAGAATTATGTCGCAAAGATGTACGATTTCTGTGAAAGCCACTTTTTAAATGTGCAGTTACAACCAAAAGAATCCCCCCCGCACACACACACACACACACACACACACACACACACACACCCTCTACAGTCAAACCGCAGTGCATTCTGGTTCTGTAGTTGGCTACTGCGTTTGTGGCTTCGTTTTGCGTGTCTGCAGCATCTGGTCTTCTCTGCGCTCTCTAACGCCAGGGAGCTTCATCGCGCGTGAGTCGGTGAAAGAGAAGCTAAACCAACGCGGCCTGTCGTCGACGTCGCTATCGCTCGCCCCCCCCCGTGTGAGTCTGTGTGTGAGTCATCGTGTCTAAATGTGTCCTGGACACACCTCCTGTTTCTGTGGTTGTTTATGTGCCACACAACATTTTCTTGAACAGTTATTTATGAATGGTAGGTTGTATGGTAGTGATTGTTTTATTTTTTCTATGAATGCACTGTGACCTTTCCGTCCGTTGCTAATCGGTTCCTGAGCGTCGCCGTTTCACTGTTTGCTGCGTTAAGGCCGAACTCGAGGTAAACTTTACACTTATTTCCCCGGTCGAGGAGCGAGGTGATTCTGAGTGTGAGACTCAGGCTGATCCCGGTGGGCGGGGGAGTTCCACAGACTGTTCCAGCCACACAGAGCCTGATTTTATTGCCCTCCAGGGGTAATCGCGACAGGCCGTTGCCCCTTTTTCATGCCCGCACTGCGACGGCACCGCAAGAGACCCACATCTTATTTCTCACACCGGCCTGTCCTTCTTACTCTGGACCCAAATGGCTTTTTATGGACGCTCCCGCACCCCCAACACCACCCCCTTTTGCTGCAGATGGGTTAAATATTACATCAAAGCATCTTTAATGTTTCACAGTACCTCTCATATTTCTCCTCGGTATCGAGTTCAAAACTGGTGCGGGCTGCATTTTTACAGTAGATTTAATGGATCAATGTCCATAATCACATTAGCACTGGCTTAACATATAACAAATTTCACCGTACCAGCATCAAAGACCTGACCTCTTGTTATAATCAGCCATAGCATCTTTTCCTCCGCCCACTCCAGATCTGTGGGCCTTCCGATACAGGGGAAAAAACACAAGGGGGTGATAAGCTGTAGTGTACGCAGCTCAGAGAGTAGCCGTGTGAGAGAAAAACATTTGTCCCCCCCACAGTCGCAGACGCTTTGTCCACCTCCCCAGTGCCTTCACGGGTCACGCTGATAATCCTCGGCCTGCTCAAACCCCTGATTCCTCCTCTGCGCATTCACGGTGGAAATAAAACACTCGTAAATCTTGGAGAATACCAGAAACATGCACTCTTAGAGTCAGAGGGCGGAGGAGAATGGTTCGACTGTGGTATGTGCGGTGGGACAAAAAAAGAAAAAGCATGATGTATGATGCCTGTGTAAGAAATCCTGCGACAGTCCTCACTCGGCACTTCCCGCGCGGGGGCCCATCAACCAATGATACAGATTAACAAAAAATTCAAACAGACAAACTGCAGACAAACTAGAATTGATGGCTTCCACGGAGCCGCTCGAGGGAACGGGCCATGACGTAAAGGGAAAAACATGTCGGGTTCCCCCTGGCCAGGTTAATCAAGACAAGCTTCCCCTGTAAAAAGACGAGTGTGTGACGGCAGCCCACTGTGTGTGTGTGTGTGTGTGTGTGTGTGTGTGTGTGTTAACCCATTTCTCATTCACAATATGCAGCATTATTGTACCGCTGATTGTGTTTGCTATACATAAGCTGTATGCATGAGGTCTTTGCCTATATTCCTCTATCCAGCACAGCATAAATAAACAAGAACACTCTATAATCCATCATCCCGTGTGCAGCCGGAGCGTGCCCAACAAAAACACGGCTTCTGTTTTCTATCTGTGTGTGTGTGTGTGTCAGAGACACCGTGTGTGAGGGCTCGGATGGGCAGCACCACTGTGTTAGTGCTCAGTCAATATCTGTAAAACATAAACCGACTGCCCCAAATGAAGATTATACAAACGAGTACCCGCTTTGCTTTGTTTCTGCCCCCCCGACCAGAAACAGATAGTCAAACTTTGTTTAAGTTTAGTTAAACTTTGTTTATTCTCAGCGGTACTATGCTTTTAGTAAACTACTGTTAATGCACAACCTACACTGTATGGTGGTGATCCTGGTTAACACTTTGCCACATTATAACACAAGATATGAATAAAATCTCTATGACGTTTCTCAAAATGTATCTGTATCTTACAAAAGTAACTTCAGTCTGTGGGGCTTAAATTATTCATTTAAAAAAAGATACACTAATTTTTAATTTCTAACATGATTGATTTTTATCTGATTCACATTCCCATGCTGAGGTCCTTTACAGGCCCCAGAGCATGAAGATTCATCCCAACTAAAGCTCATGCTCTATACTGCGGGTAATTGGTGCCTTGTGTCAGATTTATGGGAACAACTGACCTCATCCACAACATTTTCTGCTAAAGCCTAGCTTGTCCTCCCTTTGGCAGTTGCTGTCATACAACACCCGCAGCCACTCCGGAGCAGAAATCCATAAAGTAACAATGGCGGGGCTATTGTACCCATGCATAATGCACTTCACAATATCCTCATTCATTGCATCAGGACCTTATTTACAGAGCCCCTCTGGGTAACGCAATGCCATGCTCTGATCACACACCAGCCCACTGCATGTAATTATCCTCCGCCCGCTCCCCAATCCGTCACTGCCCAAGCCCATTTGTAAGAGTGCATGTACAGTGATTAAAGAAACTTCTGTGCAAAAAAAACAAAACAAAAAAGGGAGAGAGAGAGGGGGCTTCTTTCACTCGTCTTCCGTCCTCTCTCTCCACATTCGGGGTAATTTTTTTAAGAACAAGGCAAAGCTGCCATGTCACGAGTGAGCCGGGCAGACGTGTGCAGGCCGCCGACATCGCTAATGCATCTGCAGCAGTGGTGCAGCAGTCGAGTCATAATAATTAAAGACATACAACAGCTCAGGACTTCATTAATCATGGTTTATATGGACTTTGAAGCCGTAATGAAAAACAGCCCGCCTCTCTGGGTTTATTGTGCCTGTACAAATTGTGGGGATGGCGTACGGCAGGAATGCCCCCACCCCTTCCTGCCCTCCTGACGGCCGCCACGGGATGTGGTGATGGAAAACAAAAAGATAAGACTGGGTGAAAAGCTAGCGACGGTTATGGAGAGGTCGGTGGTCAAGTTTGTTTACGTAGACGCTGAGCCGGCGTTCAATCAGGCAAAAGCGGAGCTGCTGGCAGTGGCTGCGGCGCGAGTTTACATGTCTCTTGTGTTTGGTGCCCTTGTGTGTGCAACTCAGTGGTCACGGTTTCCTCTCTCCTAGCCCGAGCAAACACAAGGCCCGTGGTGCTCTGGCGGCTCGGGCTCGCACTGTCACATATCATCATCTCATGATTTGCAGTTGAGTTTCTCGGATTCTCGCCGTGCTCTCCGGTCCTTCTGGAGGTGCATTGCAGTGAGATGGGAGAGAGAGATTACCGGGTATTAAGCTCTCAGTGCCAGAAGTAGAAATTACAGAGAAGTTGTCAACGCCAGGGCCCTCTCGGCTTTTTGTTTCTCCTACGTAGAGAGGGAGGTAATACTTTACTCAAAAGCGTTTCATCCCGATGGTTTGTGACTGCTGCCTGGCAGCGCTCTCCGTGGTGAGTCACAGCCAAAAAGTATGTGCAGGCTCAGCGAAAGCAGAGGGAAGACAGAAAGGGACAGACTGCTGGACGCATGCATCTCCTCCCAATAAAAAGGCCCTTTGGCAGGTTTACATCGCATTAGTCCACTAAATCTGCGGATATATACAGTGGAAGGGAGAGAGGGCATCATGCATCATCTGAAATGCAGAAGGTGAAGTGACTTTATTCCCCCCCCTCATGATGTGTGCGGCTTGCAGGTGCAGTGGTGCAATATCCTCCTTTTGGTGGCAAAGTTATCCACTTAACATCCATTTATTTAGAATTGCAGCTACTTTAAAGCTTGTGATGTATATGTGATGTATCTGTTCTAACTAAATATTCAGGACAACGCATTTGATAAGTAAGACTCCAAGGTTGTGGAGAGCACAGTAAAACTCTGTGTGGTAACTATCTGGCAGTGATTCACTTCCTCCCCAACACGAGTTCCTCACTAAAATTTGTCATTTTATGGAGTGTGCCTGACAGAGCACAACTGACAGATGAAAGTTAAAGTGGCCCCTCGGCATAAACAAGTCAGAAAAGCTTCAGAGTTTGGCTGAATTAAAGGAAGAGGGGGGGGGCAGAGTTTATTTGAAAGCCAACAAGCATGGTGCTCTTTGCACCCTGCGGTTTGCCAGCGCTCCTCCCAGGTGAGCTCACACTGGGCCGGTACCCCCTCCATCCCCTCTCCCCCCTCTCGCCCAGAAAGAAACGCCGTTTTCGGCCTTGACTCGGATTGACTCATGCATTATTTTGCCCGGTAGTCAAAACAAAATTACACCGATTTTTAGAACTATTTCTGGTTAGCTCATCCTGTGTTCGTCATCTAGGAGCACCTCGGCGTGTCTAATGATTAAGATGAGAAAGATCAGATGGTAGTTTCATTTGAGGTCGAAGGGATGATGGTGACAGCAGTAGAAACTCTATTCAACCCTGTGAGCTTCTGTTCTGATTGTCATTTAGCAGGAGCCGCTACACTGCACTTGATCTTGCACTATACTTCTTTCATTTTTCATTTCATTTATTCCTGGACAATTTTATCATCAATATGCTAAGTAGACACTGTTGTATGCGCGAAAAGAAGGCGAGAAAAGAATAAAAATGTTTAAAAGGAATTTAACATGCTTCAAACGTCAGACTTCAAACAAAGAACAGAATAATTGCGGATTGGCTTAAATCATAAAATTACTATTTGCACTGTAAACAATAACAATAATGGCTTTCAAGTATTGTGAGATCTCAGTCATAATATATTAAATCATTTTCCATTTGAAATATCAAGGGAGAATATATTGATGTGATTAGAAAAGTTGTGAGATATTATTGCATGTTTCCTGTCTGAAAGAAAGGTGGTTTTTGGAGATACGAGTCCAGCAGTTCAGCAGCGACACTGGATAAAGTCCCCCTAGACAGCAGCGCCACCTTGTGTTCAGCACATGCGCTGCAGGCTTAATAAGAAAGCATCTTCTCACCCAGCCAACAGAAATACAAATACTCTTTTTCTGCTAACAATAAATATGTCATTCATTGAAACGTTCACGAAAACATTAATAAATACAAAGTATTTCACACACTCAACTTTGTGCCACCTTAATTGCTTCCCTCGGAATACGATAACATAACTGACAAAAGGTCTTTTACAGATGGTTTCAAAACATCTTTTCCTCTGCGCTCCCGCAACCAGAAATGAATTATCCGGGCTGTAAAAAGTTGTTTCTTCTCCGTGTCGCCCGTGTCGGCTTCACCACGACGTCCACGCCGTCCACCTCGTCTGCCTGCCGCTGCGTCTCCTTAGGATGCAGGAAGCCGTAGTACAGCACGAGGAAGCACAGCCCCAGCACCGACCCCCCAAAGATTACACCGCTGACCGTCAGCAAAAAAGGGTCTGTCTGCCATTCCGGCTTTAACAAACCCAGCAGCAAAGGAGCCGTGACGTTCACGAAAAAATAAAACAAGTAGTAGATGGTCATGGGGACCATGGCGTCCTGCCCTTTGACATTGAAGAAGGTGAACGTCAGGATGACCCCGATGACTGCTCGGTACAGAGGCTCAAGCTTTGGCGACGAGCAGAAGTCGGTCTGAAGAACGTGCGTCCAGGTCGTCCCCAGCAGCCACAGGACTGTGAGGCCGATCGAGCTGTAGGGGCTCAGCGCGAGGAGGAGGGTGTAGCTGAGGATGTGGCTGGTGATGGTGCAGAATTTGTAGAGGAGGTAGATGGCTGTGGGGAGGCCCGAGGGCATCGCCGCGATGCGGGGGAGGGACCTGCGCAGGCAGCGGCGATAGTCGACCAGGGACCAGGCGATGTTGAAGAAGGAGAACGCCATGGAGAGATCTGAAACGCAGGAGTCAGTGTCACTGTAAATGCGGCAATCGCGGTCAATTCCCAAACGCGCCTCTACTCACACTGCAAGACTGAGCTGCCCCCGTGGGCGAGTAGTATGTACAGCTGCAGAAGGAGCTGGGGGACACTCTCCAGGAAGGTCTCAAACAGTTTGAGCATGCTCAAATCCGTGGCCATGCAAAACAAACAGTGGTCCGCATCGTTCCTCTCCGCCGCTGCATTGGAATGCGGAGACGTCCAAAGCACTTTGAAGCCCTTCTTCAGCAGGAGATAGTACCTAGCAACAGGTGGCCAAACACCACGACAACAACAGAGACGGACACGCACAGCACCAGTCAAGCTTTGGGCGCACCTTCTCAGTCAATAGAAGGAGACGGTGCGATTCATTAGTCAGCTCTAATACACCACGGCGGATATGCGGTTGTTCCAGTTTGCGCTTTGCCACTCTGAAGCATTCGCATACCAAACATTTTGAGTCACAGACATCACGTTTCACTCAGGAGAGGCAGCGCACGTGTCACGTCACAATGCATACCTGCTGAAGATGCCCATGCCGGATAGGTGCAGGACTGCGAGTCTGCCTTTGGACAGGCCCGAGACGGTGGGTTTTCCCACGGCGCTCATGACGGGGTCGTTCCTGTCGTCCTCGTACCAGGCGTAGCTGAAGATCTGAGTGACGAGCAGCCCGGCCAGAGCGAACGCCAGTGTCAGTCCGGCCCACACGGAATCACCCTTTTGAAAATATCTCACGGCAAGTCCGATGTCTGTCCCAATGTCCCCAACATACAGCAACAGTCCGGCGATGGTTAAACACCACCGCAGTTTGGTGTACTGAATGTCTACTGGCTCCATTTCGATGTCAATTGTTGAAATTCAACCGACGCTTTGGTCTGGGATGAAGGCAGGCGTGTGGTTTGGATCTGAGGAAACGCCGCCGTGGACAGGTTGGGAGTCGAGGCGAGACGGTCCCATCTTGGTCAGTCTGTAGAAGCATGACAAAAACAATGGCCATTGCGATGAAGACACAGTGCTTATCACGCCCCAAACGTTTCGTGGACAACCGGTGCAGGTTTACCACTAATCTTATGACAGTGGTGGAAGGCAACGTGACTGCGGTCTGCTGCTGTGCCCCAGCACTCCTGCCCTTTGAGCTCTGTCATAAACACTGTATTTATGGGTCCTGCCAAGTGGCATGTTTACCGGCCCAGTAAGCAAATCAATGACGTTCTAGGTAGGGACAATAAAGGATTAATGACGTGAATTATGAACGTCATTCATTAAATAAAAGGGTTTTATTTACACATGAATTGCACTTTCAAATCTATTTTCTCAGTAAGAGCGTAACTTGCCTCATCATATGTTCAATTGTTTCATGATATTGGTGATAAAGTACAAGAAGAATAAAACCAAGGCAAACTAATTTAAGTCTATAGCACTATATTAAAATTACATTTATATTATGTTCATCTTTTTATGCAGTTAAGCCAAAGTTTACCATGAAGTTTCTTTACAAAGATTCTACGCTAATATACAAATCCATAATTCATTACCAATCCCAAATTGATTGCATTAAAAAGTAATCACATTCTGCCTTCTTTTACACACAATTGTAGCCACATATTAATTTGACTCACCAGTATATTGCGTCCATGGCACACAGCCGGGTTCCACAGAGGCCAGACCTTCGGCCTGCAGCCGTTCTCTTTCTTTTTCCTTGAAACCTGCGAGTCAAACTCCACCTCAGTGACAACCCTCTGAACTAACTGTCAAACCGGAAGAATATGGTTACATAATAGAGCTTGTGCCTCACGTGAAGTAGGTGCGTGTGTGTGTGTGTCTGTGTGTGTGACTGGATGACAGTTCCTGCTTCAACTTCCATGTGTCACAATCCTTTGTTCTTTAGACATTAACACATGTTCGGATGGCTTGAATCGCAGCCAGTAAGTGAAGAAATTCCCTGGGAACCCCAGACTGAATGAAAATCTCTTGGTGGTTTTCCTGTAATCGATGCACCAACATGAAGTGTGGGGAAATAATATTTATCTAAGCTCAGAAAACATAGACAAGGTAAACGTGAAAAACCTTACAGTGCCACAAGCGGATTTGTCCTGGTAGGAGTAGTGTTTCATGGTGGCTAATGATCTCAGAGCAGGATCCACCAACAGGGAGCCCCCCCAGGGCAACAATTACATTTGAACCTCACTTGCGCACTTTATGTATGATGTGTGCCTCTAAAGTATTAACAGTACCCATTAGCAAAACCCCCTATAATTATTCAGTAGTATTTCAGATTAAAAACATGTTTTGGTAATAGGCTTAAATGTCTACTGTCAAAGATAAGTGAGCGAACATACCTCCACAGGCATTATAACAGCGCACGCCGTTACACTCCGCACCTCTAGGGGGCGACGGAGAGCCGCGTCTGCTCCCCTCTCCTGTGCGTAAAAGAGTGTCGTTGGTCCGGCTGCAGCGGCTCGACCCTCCCACTGGCAGAAGAGTGACACGCCATTCAATCGCTCCCTGGCCGTCCGTTGGTAGGAAGCAAGAGGGGAGCGTTGAGCGTCCTCGTGCCACACGGGTAATAATAATATTAATAATAACAAATAGGCGACAGAAAAACAACTACGGCTGCGTCACGCTAATCCTCCCCCACCCAAAAAAAAAAAAGTTGAGCCGAACAGTGTCGACATGGGGATCCGAAAAAAGACCAACAAGAACCCGCCGGTGCTGAGCCATGAGTTTGTCATCCAGAACCATGCAGACATTGTGTCCTGCGTTGCTATGGTGTTCCTTCTCGGGCTGATGTTTGAGGTGAGTACCGCTCCACATGTTGAGTGGGTTTGAATCCTGGATGCCCCCCCCCCCCCCCGCCCCCCTCCGATCTCTCCAATGCTCCCCACCTATTCTCCTAGAAAGTGACACGGCTGTCTGCTATTATTATTCAAACTACTTCTTGTGATAGAAAGTTGTTGCTTCTCTGCAGGGCGACCTCGATATGTTTTTCCTCGAGTTTTATTTTGAAGGGGTGGGCTTCCATAAATATACACGGCGTTTCGTTAAAGCGACGTGTGCGTTGTCGAGTCCTCTTTCCCTCCCGGTAGCTTCCCCGTGTTGAACTCGACATTTTCTAATCGCTCGTGCGCAGGCCCGCCCGATTGCTCACGCGAACAAACAAAAAAAAGAACAAAAAATTGGGGGAACCAACACAATTTTTTGGGGGTGGTCTCGCGCGGCCCCTTTTCCCCATCTTAGTTCTGGCTCCGCCTTGTTGTGGTCGATCAGGCGCTTCAACCACCGCGCGCCGCCCTCGCGCGGGGTTTGTTTTGCCGCGTGACGTTTTTTTCGTGGCATTCACACAGGGCCCGAGAGGGGCTTTCTTCGCGGAACGGCCCAGCACCCCCCTCTCTCCCCCCAAAAAAAAAAACAAAGCTGAAAGTTTGGAGCTCGAACGGCGTCTCGGCCGTACGGGACCGGGTCGAGCCGAGTGACCGACCCGCGACTAGACTTCAGCTCTCTCGTTTCTGCTGTTTTTTTTATTTTATGAGGATGTTTGATCCTCTGTAAAAAGCGGCGCCATCGGAGTCACGTCGGCGGGGGTTTCGACTACTTCCGGTTTCGGTTCTACAAAGTAAAAGCCCGTCAGCGGGAACAGCTGTTGCAACGTGTACATACAATCGCAACGGCAGCGTGGGTGTTTTCTAAAAAAATGATGGGTATTTCTTTAATTCAACGTTGACTGCTTCTTTCTTGTGTTTTAGTTTAAATGTGTTGCGAAGGAAGACTGAGCAACTTCCCGTTTAGAATGAATGAAAATGAAATGGAAAAACATTATCTCTGTGATCACTTTACCCCTACGTAACAAAAGTGACCGTTCCAATGATGTTTATATATAAACTTATCAAACATTAGCCCCACATAATGGATCCTCTTTTCATTCCCTTTCTAGCACCTTTACAGAAGCACTTGGTAGTGCTAGATCACACATTTGTAGGTCCCATGTGGCCTGATATTTTCCGCTAATCTTTCAGTAATGTCACCCTTAAAATGCTCTAGATTGCCAAAATCGTTCTGTGGCATTAAAACCGATGGCTCACTTAGACTTTATACGAATCAGTTAGTCACGTTATTGGTCTTGCAGGGAATCTGCTTCGTTTTAGTTTTAGTTTGTAAACTCATCTAATCCCGTTTCACTTTGCAGTACATATATAATTGTGCATGTGCACAAGCCTCCATTACTAACGCTTTGCTTTCCATCTACAGGTCACCTCAAAGTTTGCAGTGTTATTCATAACAGTCCAGTACAATGTCACCATATCAACGAATGGTAAGTTACAGGATTCAGTTGAGAGTACAAGATGAATGAAAACTGATGTTTTTTTTTTTTTTCCGACAACGTTTTGAAATGGATACCACGAGTTTTGTCTTCTTAGATCCATCTTGCTGGAAACCTCTCACTCCGGTTCCAGAGGTGTCCTTTCTTCGCGCAAACCGTTTTAAGACTTCCCTCTTTTTTTTTTGTTCTTGTTTTTTTCTTCCTTTGGCGCTAATTTCAGTCTGCCTGATTTGATAAAGTTCTCTTGTGGCGAGTCCGTGCCGGGTGAATTGGGTGACGGTGCAGTAAGTCCAGCTCATTTCAAGGTTGACAATTTTGTTGTCAACTTGCGATAGTGTTTGAAGAAATGCACCAGCACGGCGCTTATTCATACTCTGTGCTACCGGCTGGTGGCCTGCAGGCCGTATCTCCGTATGCACCCAGCTCTGTGACTCATTCACAGCTCATATCTAATTAGACAAATAACTTGCTGCATCTTAATCTTGCTGCAGTGAAACAAACTCAGTTACGCCACTCTGTTTTTTTTGTCCGGCGCAGACTTTAACAAACGATCAGACAGATTTCGTTATGTGGTTGCATAAGCTGAGCTCTCTCATATCCTCTGCGCTGCGACGCCTCACATTACTCAGCGTGTCACAGATAGCTGGCCGCGTAGATAATAACAATGTTGCGTTAATATGAAATGTTATTGTGCTGGGACGTCGACGCTCACTAATCCGAACGCACCCCCCCTCCCCCCGGGTATTGAGGTTATCCAACACGTTAATCTCTTGATTTACATTTAATTAAAGCGGCTCAAGTGTTCACGTTAGGGATGAAGTTCATCTGACACTTTGGATGTTAGCGAAACACTTTTTTTGGCATCTTGCTGCATTTTCTCTTGATTCTCTTTTAAGCAGAAAAAGATGCATCAAAAGTCTCATTCAAATCTGATTTTAACCAAATGTGTTGATTTGATAAATCTCACTTGTTCAACAGGTGGGTGGCTTGTTCCACACCACCTAAACACTGTTTAGGTGGGTTTTAATTTGCTGTGGGCGAACCTTGAAAACAGCGTCAACTTGTCGAATGTTCTTTGCAGCAAGAGCCTCTCGAGCCAAACGTAAATGACAAAATGGACGTTCGCTGAACGTGGTGTATTAAAGACGTTTCCTATTCCGTTGTCCTGCTCATTGTAATAACTGTCTGACCTGCGCATGCTCCTTTTTTAATTTTTATTAATTTATGTTTTAGGCCCAGAGGAGACGGCCGTGAACCACTTCCACCACGGCATCAAGGACTTGGCCACTACCTTCTTCTACATGCTGGTGGCCATCATCATGCACGCCATTATCCAGGAGTACGTGCTGGACGTAAGCGCAGGCACCAACTCGACGGCACGCGCTCGAGCTCTTAACCACGGCGGTTTTCTCATTGCTCGCGTTGGTTGTTTTTTTTATCGCCCTTGCAGAAAATCAACAGGAAGAAGCACTTCTCCAAAACCAAGCACAGCAAGTTCAATGAGTCGGGCCAGCTGAGCGCCTTCTACCTGTTCTCCTTCGGCTGGGGCGCCAGCATCCTGCTTTCCGTACGACGTCCTCCCTCTGGCCACGTGTGTTTTACGGCGTGTTAACATGCGTGATTGTAACGTCATTGGCTCTTTTGCCCCCGTAGGAAAAGCTCCTGTCCAATCCGGTCACCCTGTGGGAGGGCTATCCCCATACACTGATGCCGTGAGTGTGGCACGTTGACGCGTGGAGGCCGTTTTTGACTAGAAATGGTGCCATTAATGATTTTATACATATATATATATATTTAAACGCCTGTTTTCATCCCCCCCCCAGATTCCAGTTGAAATTCTACTTCATATGTCAGCTGGGCTACTGGTTGCACGCGATGCCGGAACTCTATTTCCAAAAGACAAAGAAGGTGTGTGTGTCGCTTTGTGTGACGTGCTGCGACTTCCTGTTTGACTTCCTCCGCCGTGCTGCATTGTTCCAAAGAAGCCTCCTCGCCGCGCTCGATTCCGCGTGTGGACTAATAATATTTACTGTCCCCCCCCCCCCCCCCCCTTTTGTGTTTATCGCTTAGGAGGATATTTCACGGCGGCTGGGGTACATCTTCCTTTACCTGGTCCACATTGGGGGGGCCTACCTTCTGAAGTAACCGCCGCCTCCCATTGGAAAGAAGTGATTGTGTGGAACATGTGCCCCCCTCCCTCCCTCCCTCCCACTCCCCTCTCCTCTACCCTCCCTGCGTTGTAACGGGGACTCGCGTGTCTTTCAGCCTGAACCGTCTGGGTCTGGTCCTGCTGGTGTTGCACTACTTTGTGGAGCTTCTGTTCCACGTCTCCCGCCTGGTCTACTTCAGCAACGAGAGCCGGCAAACGGGGTGAGTCCTCGTGTCCCGGACGGTGTGTGCTTTGTGACGACGTTCTGGTGGGTGCGTGTGATCACATCGTCCCTTTTTGTCTTGCAGTTTCACCATATGGGCCGTCTTGTTTGTCCTCGGGCGACTGCTCACGCTGTCCCTGTCCGTCCTCACCGTGGGCTTTGGCCTCGCCACGTCTGACAATCAAGGCTTTGATTTGGCCGCAGGGAACTTTAATGTTATTTTTGTGCGGTAAGTGCGGGGTAAAGGGTCCATTTCATCCGACAGCACGTTGTTTTTAGCGTTTGTTTCCTTTTTGTGTCGTGTATTTCCACACTCGCGCGTGTAGCACCGAGGTCCAATGATCATCCCACAGGACGGGCTCAGTGTTTAGAAAAGGAAAAGAGTTGTTCACCAACATCAGTTCATTAATGAATCACAATGAAACAATACAGGAAATGAAGAAGTATGAGTGACTAAACATTATCCCTGCCTAATGGACTGCTTCAGATGTTACTGAGCATCTGAGGGCAGACCAATGTGTTTGACCAGGACTTGTGTTTCTGTTTTTGGCAGCATCAATGTGTGAAACCACCATTTCTTTTTTTTTTTTTTTTTTTTACCGACTCTTTCAGGATAACCGTCCTGGCGGCCATTTGCCTCACTCAGGCCTTCATGATGTGGAAATTCATCAACTTCCAGCTTCGCCGGTGGAGAGAGCACGCCCAGGCCCAGACTCTGAAAAAGAAACCAGTTCAACCTTCCAAGAGCAAGTCAAAGAAAGACAAAAGTGAGCACAGAGTGGGCGGCGCGTCCAATTGTCCAAAAAATGTGTCCGTCCTGCAGCGCACCAGACGTCACGTGCCCCTCTTCTAACTGCGTAATGCCAACGGGCACGTACACCCGACGTAATTGACGCATGTGTCCCCTTTTGTGTTTTCCTCCTCAGCCAATGGAGTAAATGGAGTGAGCTCCCACGCAGCCGATTCACCGAGAGCGCGGAAAGAGAAGTCGTCATAAATGCGTTCCTCGGTCCATCACTTCCTTCCCAAAGAATGATCTCGGCCCCGTGCTTTTTTTTCGCGGCTGCATCCGACCAACGCCCCGCCCCCTCCCGCTCGCCCCCCGCTGTGCATCTCGGGGCTCCCACACAGGACTGACCTCCCACAGCTGGACTTCATGGGCCAGAATGCTTTCAGCTTTGGCCTGTCGGCAGTCGTCCGGCGCGCCTCGACTCAACAATCATCTGTCCGCTGTGCCACTTCAAATATTGAAAACAAAAAAAATTCCCCACCCAACTATGAAAAAGAGACCTTATTTAAGAAGTGCCTATTGATGCAGATTGTTTTGTATTGGGTGTGTACAAATTCAGGAATGATGCCTTCAGTGTTTCCCCACCCACCCCCCTCAGTCAGGTGATGTCATGCTTTTTCCAACATAGTGTGTATTCCAGCTTGTGATTTTAATTTATAAGTGCTAGCAGCTCCTCTTCTTTGCCACTGAATCCGAACCCTCTTTGGCGGGATTTTTGTAAACATTTTTGTAAGAATTTCCTAATAATATCTCTTTTATTTTTCCATCTGTAAAGGTTGCACACAGTCCCGTTATAATCTGACTGTTCTCGCTCGGTTTCCAACGCGTCGCTGGCTAATTGATGCGATTGAGCGCAACGTGGAGGATTTTCAATGTCCTCAGAAGAGGGACGCGCGCGTAAAAGCAACCCAGGAGAACCGGGAGACATCTCCGTGTACTACCATAAGTAGGTTCACAGTGAAGTGTAGTGCAAAACTGCCATTATAGACGTAGTAACCTTATGTAGCATTTTATTATCATAGTTCAGAGCAGCTGTTGGTCACTAAAGAACATATCCCTTCCCGCGAGATGATGCTCACTCTATGGCCGTTCTGCCTATTGCACATTGTCTGTTGTCCTTGATTGAACACACTTTGTTTTGAGTGATTGGGAGACAACAAGACGGAATCCTTAGTTTGATAGAATCACTGTCTCGTATGGTCCATGACAATTTGCTCTTTAAGTGGAATGGGTTAGCTGTATTTCAATGTCCCTGCGTAGTATTGCTTTGAAGTACATATGTCCACAAGAATGAACTAGGACCGAGTGTGAAAAACCCATGTTTTCTCCCTAACAACACGTGCCAAATGAGTCTGATTGACAGTTGCTGTATGCCTTTCAGTTGCATTTCACGAAATGAATTTACAGAAGCTGTGCTGTATTGAAAGAATCCATCGCCTGCGTAACACTGGCTTATTCTAAAGAAAAAGCTAACTCATTTTAGATCCACAGCAAGTAAGTTATCTCCAGCAGTATATCACAAGTATATTTGGTTTTCTGAGCTTTTTTCTGATTGTTTTATCTATCTTGCAAAGGAATAAAACTGTGTATTGAAAGAAGCAACTGTCAGCTATTTTTCTGTATCGTAAATAATGCCTTGATGGGTATTTTCCATCCACACAGCCTGTGTACAGCATGCTCAGACCCTTCATTTAGATAAGGAGGCATTTGCTGTTCACATTTTAGGCGAATCCAAGTGAGGGGTGTGGTAATCCAATTGCATGTCCCAGGTTCTCAAAAAAAAAAACTCAAATCTTATTTACTTTGGTTTACCGTGATTATTTTAAGTCACTGTGTAAATGTGTGTAACCCAACATGTAGGTATGAATGGCGTTTCAAAGCCGTCCCCCTAATGTGCACACAAATGTATGGTTCATACTGTGTAGAGCGCTGATCTGAACAAGCCTCGCCTTAGCTACACAAACGTCAACTGCGATTAAAAAAAACCCAACACAACCCAAGCAAATGTACCCATAGTGACTTTCTGTGCATCACTCATTACTCGCGTTCATTAACTCACGTGGAAACCACCCTGGTGTTCTACCTCTCCGCCACTTGGTAGCGTAGTTGCACACGTTTTAATCGAGAGAAAACGCCGCCTCGCTCATTCGATCAATGGATCGTTGAATCAAGGCACCTAAAGTAGGACGCGCTCGTTTGTAATCGGACTAACGCTTCTCGAATGTCTAGCCTGATGTTAAGGTTTTTTGGTTTAATATGTAGCTAATACAATCACACTGTTGAAGAAAAAGAAGTCTGCAGATTTTTTTCTGATCACCGTCTTGTTACTGTTAAGTGTCAATGTATTCAAATCAACTAGATTCATATTACAATTTCAAATTGAGAACTTCAACTCTTCTTTTTACGATGCTTTTTTCATGTTTTATAATGAGATTAAACATGTTGGTTGACAGTACATCCATTAGTGATGTAACACCCGTTTTCACTATATTGGGAAATATGGGATGTGTGTGTGTGTGGGGGGGGTCATAGTTCCCCCAGCTCTTAAACCACAACACACATCTAAACATTAGCTACTGACAGTCGTGACACTGTAAGTGGGTTTTATTATTATTTGTTTACCCCCTGGTGAAATGTCAGCAAACGAAAGCCGTTCTATCAAGGATCGTTTCATCCTTTTTAGGAGGTAAAAAAAAAAAAAAAAAATCAGCGTCAACTGCGTGCAAATCCTGCGGGTCTGAGCTGATAGCGCCCGAGGAAGAGCCCCGTGATGTGGTTTCTGGTGTGGGGGAGGATAGCGAGCTACCAGCCAGATAAACACTCCGCGTTGGTTTGCACAGCGGGAGTAACATGGCGGCACAGTTAGCCAGCAGAAATGTTGTTTCACTACCGCGAAGGTCAGAGCGGCGTCTGAAAAACGGGATTTAACGGGCGAGGAGGCGGCTGAAAAAGTATTAAAATCGTAAGTAGCCACACGTGGGGTTTTTTTGGTGCTCGTTGCCCGGAACGGGACGTGGTGTTTTTCGCTGTTAGGGGGGAAGAAGAAGAAGGGGGTAAAAAAAACTGATCCAGTTCGAGGTCTTCAATCTCGGCTGTGTGTCTGTCTGACACGGGCTCTCGCTTTCGGCGTTAGCCTGTTAGCATGCGCTAGCTTCTCGGCTAACCCCGCTGCCTGTGTCAATAGTGCTTTCTGCAGCGAACTCAATTTAGATGGCTCGGGGCAGCGAGCTTCGCGAGCGAGTTGTCCCAAATGTGTGTCAGCCGTGTCCTTTAATTCAGCGGTCACCCGGTGTACACTTCAAATTAAAATGTGTCTTGCACAATACTGTATTATGTCATTGTTTTTTTGTTTTGTGCTGAGTGAGCTAGTGACCGTGTACACAACACCGGACGAAGTTCGCCAGTCACGGCGTGAGCGTAGTTAGCATGCTAGCTGATTAGCCCGCAGGCTAGCCCGGCTGCTAGAACGTCGTTGTCAAAATAACCGAGTGAGCGAGAGAGAGAGAGAGAGAGGACAGTTTATTACCAGCATGTGTTTTAGCGGGCTGCTAACCTTGTTTGTTGTGATGTTAACCATGCCACGCTACCGCTCACCACGTTAGGTAAGTTTAAAAACAAATCCTCCATTTATCCCGGGTTGCATGGACAATTTTAATTTTTTTCCTCCGTGTGTTTTTCACCCCCCCTCCCCCGGCTGAACAAATGTTTCTCCCTTTTTGTATTTGTATGTCGTTACTATGATTGTCGACGCGCTCCGCCACCACCAAGCTACGTAGCAGCGGAGCTATAACGTGGAGCACTCTGTCACTTTAAACCAGCAGCCGTTGGCTTTCAACCGTTTGGCCAAAGTGTTCAGAAAGTTGTCCATGTACACGGGACGAGACACACACACACGGGTACCGTAAGTGTGTGTTTTGGGTAGTGGAGTTTTTACTTCGTTGTGCTTGTGTCGACAGTGGAAGTGCCATCCTTTTCGGGGGGGTTTGGGACCGTGCGGGCGGACTGCTTGTGCCGTTTCGGTGGTTGTCAACGCTCCTCGCGGTGGTGCCGTAGGAACGCGTCTCGTGGAACCGGTCGAGCAGTTTCTCTCTTCCACCCCCCTCCTCGGTTCTTTCCCACCTGCTTTAATGTGACATGTCGTCCAGCTGCGGTTTTGGCTGCAACCTTTTTTCGGTGGGGGGGCTGCTGGGAAATGACGCGCTGGACTACCGGAAGCCGTATAGAATGTATACGGTTATTCGAGGGATTTTAAAGAGACACGACGATGGCACGCAGTTCCTAATTTTGATCAAACGAAAATAAAAAATACATTAAGACGTTTTAGAAATATGTGTTCGTTCCTGTCATGTGTGTGCATGTCTGTTTTTGTTTATCCCTTTAAAAAAAAATACTAATAATTTTACATTTATTTTGCAGTGAAAAGAGAACTCGCTGTATACACGTTTCTTTGGGCTGAGACTATTTGTCTTCCTCATGATGGGACAAGTGAAGAAGTCAAATTTCGCCCACAACTAACTTGATTTTGGTTTCTTAAATTATTACATGAAGTCGCGGCGGGGCTTACGTATACGGCGCCTGCCAAAACCCTCCCATAGTTGCAAAGAATGCAGTCCTGCACAAATTAAAATGTGCGTTCCAGTATGCACGTACCACGTAGGTAGGAGCGTTGCTTATGTTGGTTTGTCCTATCTTGTGTCTAAGCAGATTCATGACATCAACAGGCCTTTTGCCCTTGACCGGCGCTATGAAAAATGTTTTAATTTTTTTTTGTCATTTCGCCCAAACACTATGCAATGGTGTATCCAAGCATGTGGATGTTTATACAATGACCGACTGGGTGGTTTGTTTTTCTCACTCACTGTCTTGGCGCAGTGCAATGTGTGTTATCCAGAGGTAATCCTCTGCCTTAACACATTGTATAATACAACCTCGGCAGCCAATGTGTGACCGTAACGCCCATCGCGTCACGTGCGTTTGGAAAGGATCTCTGCGTCGACGTTTCGCTTGCTGTTTCTTTTCCGTCAGTCTCGGCCCCCGCTCACTGAGCCCTGTAATTTGCTTCCCGCAAACCTGTCTTTCTGTATTGTTATACAGCTCTTTTTGGTTGCCCGCCACGTGTTCTATGTGTGTTAGTTATTCCATAAGACAAAGCGTGTTTTCTGTGGCCGTTGGGAGACCATCCTCTCATGTAATCACTGACCTTTGCCCTGTGATAGGCTCGCTTTTGTTGCGTCACCTGAGTGATACTGTAATCATTCGAACCTTGTTCTGTGGCCTGCGCTGCCAATTCTTTGGTTGTTGAGTGTCTCTGTTGGCCTAATATGACCTGCTAATCATTTTTAACGTCAAATCGAATCCTGTTTTCTGTATTCATGTCGAGACATGCTTTGTATGAGGCAATCTTGACGGTACGCACAGATTTTTTTCAATATATGTTACACACGAGGAATTTGACATGGCCGTTGGTGCATAACATCAGACAGACAATGGGCAAGACAATTAACATGCAAGGATGATGGCATGTTCAATTTACAGGTTTACAATTTAACTCTCCAAGTATTCATTAATCAATTATCATAATGGCTTAATGCATTATTATTATTATAAGGAATTAATGCAGAAGTTGTTCATAATGGAAAACTTTCCTTTTTTAGATGTTTTTAGACTCATTTACCGCATGGGATTCATCTTTTGAGGAGAACATGAAAGAACAACATTTTTGAAAATCAATCGTTTGTCAAATTAGAAGCTAAAATGCCCGATTCTCTATGATCTATAAATATTGTGTCTTCTAGTATGGCATAACATCCTTTTGGCTTGCACTGTATAATCTTAAGTTACTGTTTCTCATTATTACAATATTCTCATCAAAATATTGAGTACTGGAATCTCACTGTATGTTGGAGAATTCTCAATGTTGATGCTAAAGTTTGTAAATGTATGACTTCTATCCCATCCAAAGGACACTTGTGTCTCTATTTGACATGAATGCCTTTTATAAAAAGAAATCTCCCGGTTTTATTAGTGAACTACTTGGGTTCCTCTTGTTTCCACACACACGCTGCAAACAGAGAGTTGACTCATTTGAACTAGGCTGGAAAATGACATCCCTGTCTCTGCCGTTTAGTGTGTCCAGCTGCTGAACCACACCATGCCCCTCCGCCTCATGCAGGCTCCTCCATGTGTTCATTCCTGGGATCCTTTTTTAAAAGCAGTCTCCAGTAACAGCATCCAGAGCTGGCAGGAATCTGAGCTTCACAAGGATGTTGCAACTTATTTCTGCCCTTTTTTCTTTTTTTGCTGAAATCTGCAAACCCCCACTCACACTCAGGCCGAGTGTTGGGATAAACTAAGGATTACTTTGCGTTTCCTTTCTTTCCATATTTCAAAGTGAAGGATGCCGAATCGGATAGATATACATTGGCTGCGCGAACGCACAATGGCTCCTGCTCAGGTTTAGCTGTAACGGAACGGACCACGTCGTGTTATCGGAGGGGCCACGGTGTATTCTAAATGCAATGCACCGCCGTGCCTTCACCCCCCCCCCCCCCCCCCCCCTCGGTATCTGTTTGCCTTGTTTCACTGGGCATCTCACCCTGCTGTCTCTGCGTTAGTGTTGTCATGGAAACAGCAGTGTGACAGGTCCTGGGTGGGCGTGAGGGATGAGCTGTGGGGAAATGGCCAGGTTTTAACAGTATGGGGAGGGGGAGAGGAGAAGCTGAGGCAGAGATGGTTGATGGAAAGCTCCAAGAGGGCTTCGACATGGAAGAGGAGGTGCCGGATTATTTACTCCCTGTCAGCTTCAAGGCGCGTTGTCATTGTGTTGTTTGGCTGACCTCAAACCAGCCTTCCCCTCCATATAACTGCAGCAGTGACAGAATCTTTTTTTTTTTTGGCGGGTTAGGGTTTAATCTTGGAACTGAAATGATCAAAGTACAGTGCTTGTCATCAAGGAGCGATAACATCGAAGAGAAGTGTTTCCAGAGGAAAGCATAATTGCTGACATTAGCTCGGAATGACGCAGATGGGTTCTCGTGACATCGCAGTTGTTTGCTGATGAAAATAGACACAAACTTTGCTCTTGAAAAACCTGTAATTGTTTTGTGTGAGGTGTGGTTCCCCGGCGGTCCGCGCTCCTCCACTTATGTAGGTCAGCTCCCAAGCCAGATGATATTGTGGCGTCTGCTGCTCGTCGTGAAAGAAGGTGCCCTCCGACCCGTTTGGCTTGAGCAGAGGAGGCGGCAGAGGTCGCATGGCGATGTGACCAGGCTGCAACGGCGGGCGGGGGCTCGTGGCTCCGTTGTACATTCCACTAGATAACTATCACCGTTTGTCAAATCCGCACCTCGTTTGTATTCAACCTTTTCATAGTAATCAGATTGTGGCAATAAAACAATTAAAAAAAGGTAGTTATTCAAACACACAGGTTATAAAGGGCTTTATGGACTGGGCATAAAAACACCCCCGTCCCCTCAGTGTGACATGGGTGGATCATAAAGGTGGGAGGCTTTATCTGCTTAATTGAAGTTGGAGTTTTATAGAAAAGGTGAGGGAGCCCACTTTGGAGTCTCATTCTGTGCGAGTGGGCAAACTGCTCTCCCCTCTGCCACAATGCGCCAGCATGTGGTTGGCACCTTCCCTACTGCCCAGGGTGGAATCCTTGGCATTGAGGTGGGGGGTGGGCGGGGACTTCGATTGAGCAAGCTGCCTGGTGGAGTTGGTTGGTTGGTCCAGAAAAAAGAAATGCGGCGTGAACCTGCCCCTGACAGAATCTGGCACACCATCTTATCCTGGAATGGAGGTGGAGGGCGTCATGGCGGGCCGGCGTACGGCGGCATGGAGGGACGTGTGCAGAGCAGCAGCCGTTCTCACCCAATCGCAATAAACCCGAGGAATGCGTGGATTCGGTTTTAGGTTGTTTTTTTTCCTCTCTGTGCCCGATGTGAGGGTCAAACTCCGACC